GCTGGTGTTCAAAGAATATAACAAGATGACATAGTACTTTGATTAATCAAAACGAGAAGGGGTTATAGTTCATGAGTACTATAAAGGAGTTTTATTATTTGGTTCTGAGAGTGAAGCATGTTTGGCAGTTTTCGGAAATAAAATGCTTCGCCAGAAAATTAAAACAGGCTCTTCTTATTAACATGCCCTTTATAGTCATATCAGATGCTTTCTTTGAGAGGATTATTTGGGTTTTCTTTTTGCTTTTTCTGTAACAGTTGTGCCATACTTTTGATTTGATCAGTGAGAGGAACATGGCATCTATATTCATAGATCTACAGTGTCATGAATTAGCCTAATTTTTATTACTGTCTACACACTGTATATGGTTGAAATAAAATATATGGAGATAACGAACAGTATTCAAGCTCAAAAGTCCAATTAAGAATACAAAATATGAGCAGAGCAAACATGGACCTCCGGAACATCAGAGGTGGGATCAGGTGCCATGGGGAGTGAGCATCCCCTGCCGACCGGTCACACTCGCCGTGTGCCCTTTGTCATGATCGGAAAAATCAAGCATTTGACTCAATGATACATTGTATTTGTTGACAAGGTCATTCTATCGACCTAAGAGCTTACGAAATGATGACGAAACCGCTGAAATTCTTGTTCCATCAACTTGTCAAAAATTTACCTCGTTTTAGAATTGTGCATACATAGAGCATGCTCTTGTGTATCGAATCAACAGAGAGATATAAACTCCGTATGCAGGTGATGGTCAGTACAGTCATGTATATTACTGCTTACATGTAAGCAAGGAAATTTGACAATTGAAAAGTTAAAGTCATCACGTACATGTACATACATGTAGGTACAATGGAGGTACGTAAAAACAACGTCTTGAACATTATTTCATGGTCAAAGAAATATCGGGAAGCACAATAATAGAGTAAAAACACTTTCATTGTAAGTACACTTTTTTCCCAACATTTTTGCATCAGTGATAAAGATATTAACACGATTGTCCACTTCAATAAATTTTCTCTCAAAATTTTAAAAAGAAATTAAAACCCTTGATAATTAAAAATGACTTCATTTTAAAAATACGCTCTAGAAATTAAAAAAAAAATCTTGCGCACGTACAATGTACACGGAGCACGGTATTTTTCTTTATACCAGCCCAGGTAGTAATATATCATACAATATATGAATTGAAAAGGTGCCTTTCAAACACTTAATGAGATTGAGTTTTTGGGAAGAATGAGTGCGTGTATATAAGGTATCCCTGGTGGAATTATTCAAAGCGAGAGAGAAGCGGGGGAGAGAAACTTAGAAATAATACTCCGCGCTCTGATTTTACTGTGTCAAAGTAAAATCTGTTTTATGACTTAAGTGCTCTGTCGAATCGCCTTTTTCTGATAGCGTTCATTAATGTTAGGTACAATGTAGTTACAGACTAATATATTTTTCTCCCCCAAATGTTCCAGGATGCTACAAGAAAAGAAGATGTATTAATTAGGAAGTTAACATGAACGAAAATCTATAGAACTTATTACAAGCATAAAGCATAATAATGTCTACAATTTTATTTAAACAGTCTTTTTTCTAAATCATTTTTGTTAGGACATTGAAAAAGCATTCTGCTGTGTTCTGCCGATTCACTAAATACAGAAATAATCGTTTACAAGGTTACAAATTTTCATCATCCTTATATCTAACCACTTAGGCAGTTTCAGATTCCTTGTAAATCAATAGGAGTTCACTGTTCCGCGAACCTAATCTAAAAAACAGAAGTAACTACAAAAAGCTCAATATGAAGTCAACTGACAGGCTAGTGTCTTTGCGATTCTTAAGTAGAAATGAGCAGACGTACAACTTTAACCCCCCGAATATTGATTAATGCATTAGGCAAGATTGACAAGGAGAAGAACTATTCTATCACGATGAACGAATTAATAGTGCCTCCGAGTGCTGTAAGTTTAGAGGAGGCTGGCATCCGACGGGTCTCTTGTGAAATCCATTAAATTGAACGATGATGAACATGTATTTGATGTTTTCGCCAGGGGGACAAGTAGACAAGATTCCAAGATGACAGGTGTGTGATTGGAAGTCGCGATTTTTCATCGTACGCGATATATTGTATTTATGGTACGAAATCAAGATTTGGATTGGCAGAGTCTCGAGGATAAATTGGCATAATACAATTAGTGACTGCGAATGTGATTTCAACGACAAACGCTTGCAGCTGGATATAATCGTAGCAAACATATTAAATAGCTTTTTGTGTAAGATTAATTCTTTTGATGCCTTGGAGTCATTTGTCTTTAAATAATTGAACTTGTCGATCATAATTTACATGTCTTTAATTGTAGAAAAACAGGGGTTTTTTGTATTAGAATAAAGCGTCAGGTAATTCAATTATACCGACAATAAATGAATATCATAAAAATGAGTTTTCCCGATTGATTTTTTTTAAGCAAAGCAAAACTTTATAAAATTGTTTATTAACATATTCCTTTAATTGAATTGTTCCGATACTCTTACTTTCAATTGTAAAAATTCTTAAAGGGGCTTAGACGCAGATGTGAAGTTTATATTTTCTCAAACGTATTGTATGATATACTGTATGATATAATGACATATGTTCCTTTATTTAATGTAATTGACAAACATATTTTATCTGGAAATTTAATTTTGGGACGCGTTTGATTGGCACATCCTTGTACTTTCACAAAGTAAACTTTACCTTTTCAAGGTCAAGGGTCAAACTGGGTGTTTTATGTGAGATTGGAAAGATATGATTTGTTTTTCAACATCCATAAGGAAACTAGAGATCATTACGATGTAATTAGTCCAAAGAAAGTTTGTATGCTTTGTTTTCTCGTTATCATATGCAGAAATGGTGGTCATTCTGCTCATTTACATATAGGCCATATTGGAGCTATAATGGCAGCAGATTCCATAAGATTTTATATAGAGAACGTACAAAAAATTGCAAAATTTTATATACACTGTACTAACTATTTCGGATAAAGTTCTTCCGCCGATGTTTTGATTTTTCTTTATATCTTCTAACCGGAAATAACAATAATGTTGATGCTCAAGTGAAATTTGCGACCACCTTCATAGTTTTATTGAAGGAAAGAGGCAGAGGATTAGTGTTTTTATCATGTTTGGTAATAAAATGTATGTGTTTATTGCAAGTTGACAGAGTTCTTCCGTCGATTAATGGATGCAGATGAATGTCTATTTTTACAAAATAAAGATGATTCAACATTTCATTAAGAGTTACAACCACCTTTTTAATTTAAAAACGGCAATTTCTTATATCCGTGCGACCTTATTATTATTAAAAAGACGGTATCACGCATTCTTAACAGTCAATCACGCAAAATTCTACCCATAAAACTATAACGGGGGCCTAAAGAAATAAAAACAAACCAGATTTGAATGTTTAAATATAGAAAAAATAAAGAAATTGTATATTTTGAGTTTTTGCAGGGCCCTATGAATATTAATGAGAAGAAAATCACGTGGGATCAATGTCATGAATAAACTGCACGCCATTTCTCCATACGTACTAAACGCAAAGAAATGCGTACTCCATATTGAATTCCTTTGGCTCGCTCACTCGTTGGTTGAATAACTTAGTTGTGATTAGTATGGTTTGAGTTATATTCTCCTACATTTTTTAAAAACTCCCACAAACTGATTTCTTCAATTTATGCTTCATATTAAAATTACAAAATGCCTTAACCGGTTAAGAAAAAACACAACATGGAGTACTGGGACAGACCCGAAGTGCTAAACCTTGTTCTAAATGAGCACAGGAAAATTGTAGTGAATATGAGGACTTTGATGGCGATACTGATGCAAAAGTTGATACATTAGCTGGTGCTCTTACATAAACCGGACGTTATATGTCAAAATTTGTAGAATGCATCTGTTCTTCAAAAGTGTTCGTTAAATCACTTGTCAGTCATCTTTTTCCAAGTTTACAAGAAACTCTACAGAGTGTTCTTGAACCTCTAAGAATATCTTTTGATAATCTTCCTGACCAACTGAGGAAATCCAAAGAGAGTTGTATTGAACTAGAATTTTAACAAATGAAGATTTAGAACAGTACAAACGTACGTAGACAAAATTTAAGAATATCTGGAATCATTGAAAATGAGGGTGAAAATACCGATGACCTGGTAGTTAATTTTGTAAATGAGACAATGAACATTGACTTATATATGCAAGACATTGACAGAACTATCTGGTAGGAAGACCTAATTCATAACCAAACTGACATTATTGTCAAATTTACATTATGAAAATCAAGACACAACATCAAAAAGAGATGGGAAGTATTTCACGAGTATAATCAATCTCGTAACACTTCCTCTTATATTTTCGAAAATCTGACCAAAAGCTGTTCCACGATTTTATATCACGAAAGACTCGTCGAAAAAAAGATACGTGGATGGCACATGGAAAAACCACGATGACAAATAAATATGTGCACAAGAATTGATGACCTTAAACCAGCTGCGGTATCCCAAATAAAAACATGCGTACGCCAGTGCGGCCATGAATACAATTGGCTTTTCCTCATACATGTAGTTGCCAAACTGACCAGTCCAGTCTCACTATACAAACATATACACCAGTTAAAACTTGCCAATTTTAATCTGTGAACACAACAAACAATGTATATACTGCTAGAATTCAACCTGAAGTAGATATGTGCTCATCACTTGTATTTATTTAACTCTAGATCCACTGCACTAAAACTTGGGTCTAAGACATGGAAGATCTCTAAAACCACGTGATATTTTGCTGAAAAAAACCCCCGAAAACTGTATTTATTTTTCGGATGCTAATCCACATTTACATATATTATCATTTTATGACTTGGGAATAACTTGTTTGGTTGTTTTGCAAATGCCGAATTATGTCAATATTTTCAAAAGCCATTTATATTTTTTGGAAATGATACTATAAATAATTTTTTTTCTTTTTTCTCTTTTTAGGCTTTGCTATTTAGCGTACACAGAGGCCCTTTTAAAGAAGATTTTTACCAGTGTGTTGATATCCTAGGGTATCCAAGCCCGGCCTACAAGAAACTGTACAACATCTTCTGTATGCTCATCCAGTTTTTTCTGCCTCTGACTCTAATGATCATAGCCTATGGTCTTATCCTCTTCACAATATCCCGCAAGTCCAAAGAGTTTGGGGGTAAGATTTTTCTCCCCATTCTGTGTATATTTTTCCTTAAACGTTTGATAAGTGATCTTTAGTCGTCTATCATTGATGGTATTCCATCGATTTGCATTTCCTATGGGACTGATGAAATTAGATGCTTCGGGACGAGATCCATGACATTTCATGGCTACTTTGCTTCTGTGGTATTTTATTGCTTATGGATGACAAGATAAATAAACAGTCCCGTCCATATTTAACGATTTCAAGACTCCCTTACCACTTCTGAAGTTTTTGCTCCGCTGTCCACAGACCAGAAGACCTTAGGGTAAAGTGTCCGCCGTCGGTCTGACTTGCTGCAGAACTGTCGTTCTCTGCTTGAGAAATTTAGGACAGAAAAAGTAGAGAGCTACAGATCCAAGCGTTGTAATAATCTTCAGTGTAGGCCGCTGCTTTTAAAAGGGGTGTTGCTAAAACGCGGAACGGAACGGAAAGCGGAACGGAACGGAAAACGGAAAATTTTTGTCAAACAAATAACATAGATTCGATATAAATCAGATAAAAGAGCAATATTCTTGTTGTAAAAATCATTTCTGATAAAAATTTATTGTAAACTAATATATATTCATGAGTCATACACAACTTCCGTGGAAAAAATGGTACTGAAAGAAATTCGACCCCCCCCCCCCACACACACACACACGATGTAAGATTTTCGTGTTTGGGCAAAGGACATATCCCCTTTTTTTGGCTTGTCAAATTTGTTGTATGTTGGAAAATGTTTACTGATAACCCCCCCCCCCTCTTTCAATTTGTTTCCAATTTCAATTTCTGTAAAGAAAAAATAACTATTTATGATATTCAGATTATGCACGCAGTGTCGAATTCGCGAATCATGAAAGGGGGAGTGGCAGTTTCGGGTCTGTGTAGGGACCCACAGTCATTAAAAATTGATTTATTAAACCTTATGTATATTTTTGACACAAAAAGGGTGGGGACATACCTATTACAACTTGTCAGACCTTTCCAATGAGCGGGAAAACAAACTCATTTTTCATATACACCCCCCCCCCAACATACACACATATGTACCGCAAGCAAAATTTAACTTCATTGAATGCAAAGATTCTGCATCATATCTACCACATGAAAGTTTTCCAACTTTGTCTTTCCAGAATTTAAATATATAGAAAACGTCTCTATTTTGAATAAAATGTTAACAACCAGTATGTATATAAGAGATGTTTATTCGAGCTTGCCGTAAAGGTTTGCCCTAAACGTATTATCTTAATAATTTTTTTTTTTACATTTTATTTCTTTCATGGTTCATTTAGATATCAAATATTTGATACCCCGGTCATAAACTTTTTACTACGGAAATGTTCCTTCAAGTTGACATCCTCACACTTTTTGTGAATGTAATTGATTTAGTATGTTAGTATTCAAAAAATAGTACTGAAAGATGTTGGAATTGGAACTTATCCCCCTCCCGAATCAAACATTTGTTTTCTTTTTGTATTTTTGCTTATCAAATACTTTTCAAGTTCGTTTATCTCCCTTTTTCAAATTCGATAACTTGTATACATATGTATGTTAGCGATTTTTGTAAAAAAAGAGACTGAGCATGACAAAATCAACTTGTATTTAATAGTGGGGGGTTGAATATGTACAAGATATATCGTTTATGATAAATTTTGTGTATTTTAAGTGATTTAATCCAAAATAATATATTCCGTTTTCCGTTCCGTTCCGCTTTCCGTTCCGTTTTCCGTTCCGCGTTTTAGCAACACCCTTTTAAAAGATTCCGATTTCGATGTCTTAACCAATAAACAATCTTTTGGAACCGTTGAAAGGTACATGTATATAAACAAGAGATGTTTGTAAAACTCGTATGCCCCCTCCCCAAATAATTAGAATTTCTTTTCTATGTCCAAAGGACATGACTGTCAGAAATGGCTCGATCGTATACCCAATACAAAACTTGACTTAAGATCTGCCAATTTCATTTCAATATGTGCAACCGTGGCAAAGAAAATTCACGGAAACTGCAACCTCTGCGAAGAAATTGAACTGAAACTGATGGTGGACCGACAGACAGCAGCATCGCAATATACTCTCCATTCTTCGAAGGGAGGGGGGGGGGCATAAATATCAGATATAGGGATTAAATGTATGGTTATTTATCGGATACCTTTTTAAAGATGGGACCCCCCCCCCCGAAAAAAATTATCCGAAGTGAGCGACAAAATAGTGGCGGCGTAAATCGAAGATTTCTGCATCGCTTGGATCTATAGCTCTCTGCTTTATCTGTCCGAATTTTTCCTAAAGTAGATAGCTGCAGCTAGCTGTGTCAAATTATAATTTGTCTCGAATATTTTTTAACGTTACCACGCCTACAGTTTGGTCTGATTCGAATAGAAAACAAGAGGCCCATGGGCCTTAAAGGTCATCTGAGCATCGTGCAACAACTTTCCAATGATTGAATTTGGTTCATGTTTTAAACTAGACGTCATGGCATTCACAATTTTGAAAGAGGCACATTGCTTTTCATAACTATACACTTAGCTTGTTACTAAATACCCATAGACAGAGTAGAGGAACAAAATAATGGATTTCGGCTAATCAGTAATATTCAGCAATAATCAGTAGTGCCACTACCACACATAAACCCCTGACCCTTGGTCCACACATTTCACAATTTTGGAAACGGTGCCCTTGCATATCAAAAATGTTTGATTGATTCCAAACAATTCATTTTCAATATATAAGTAGAGCCCCCTCCCCCTCTATGGTACCCTTGACACAGAGGCCTTGAAATTCACAATTCAGGAAGAATGGCCCTTGCTCATCATAGCTATATAGGTAGTTCATCTGCTTAATACCCAGGAGCAGAGGAGAAAAATTTCAAAGATATAATGCATTTTCACTATATAATCAATTAAGCCCCGCCCTAACACCAGAACCCCTGATCCTGGGGCCATAAAATTCACAATTTTGGAAGAGACATTCTTGCTGATTATAATTACGTACTTACTTAGTTTATTTAATACCCAGGAGCAGAGAAGAAGATTTTCAAAGAAATAATGTATTTCACAATATCATCAATTGAGCCCTGCCCTAACACCTGAACCCCTGACCCTGGGGCCATAAAATTCACAATTCTGGAAGAGACATTCTTACTCATAATAACTATATACTTATTTTATATAATACCCAGGAGCATGTATTAATGTATTTTCACTATATAATCAATAGAGCCCCGCCCTAACAACAGAACCCCTGAACCTGGGGCCAAAAAATTCACAATTTTGGTAGAGGTATTCTTCCTCATCATAACTATGTACTTAGTTAATTTATTTAATACCCAGGAGCAGAGAAGAATATTTTTAAAGAAATAATGCATTTTCACTATATAATCAATAAAACCCCGCCCCAACACTAGAACCCCTGAAGCTGGGGCCATGAATTTAACAATTTTGGTAGAGGACTCAATGGTCATTACATTCATACAACAGTTTGACTGCTTGATGTCCAGGTGTAAAGATTTGTAAAGATTGCATTCATTTTAGTGGTTTTGGCCCAGCCCCCGGAGGGCAGGGACCTTGAAATTCATAATTTTTGTTCCCCTTCACCCATATAATTATGCTTTATGCCAAATTTGGTTGCAATTGGATGAGTAATTGCAGAGAAGAAGCTTAAAATGTTCAAATGTTAGCACACGACGCACACCGCACGACGACGGACGAAAACAGATAGCAATAGGTCACCTGAGTTTACTCAGGTGACCTAAAAATTGAAACATAAGTAGAATATCATGATATACAAGTCTAAAAATCGGTTTTTCAATTTCGTCGAACAGTGCTGCAGGGTTATTAAAAAATGGTAATTTTTGGATTTGGAAAGAAAAGCTACATAAACATGTACGGTAACCCCTGTAAAGAGTAATCTGTGAAATTCTTCAAAATGTTTTTTTTTTCACCCTATTGTTAAGTAAAATTTGGTAAATGAGTAAAATATGTACATCAAACTTTAAATAAATTAACCTGTGCATCTACTTTAAATTCCTTTGACTGCATTTGCCCTGGTGCTTAATTTCCACAACAAAACATTCCTTCAAACTTTTGTAAATAGCCTCAGCGGCTGGGCTTGCATACGTATACTGCCATTTTGGATAGCAAGATAATTCGGTCCAATGTAATAGTTGAAAGGGGCCAAAGTAATGCAGTGTATTTTGAAATCGAACTTTTGAACAATTTAGATAAGAATGTCGATTGATTTACCTTTACTCGGCACTCGAGGATCTTAATCGTGCCAACGCCTGTCGTGACACGGTATTTCAGATTTTAAAGGACTCATCCGAAGGACCTGCACTTTTGTCTTCAAACGCCGAGCACAAGGCGAAGAAACAGTTGCGTCTAATTTTTTATCGACTTAGGTCAGTCGCGACAGAGATTCAAACTCACAACATCCCAATCATGGAGCGAGCGCTCTACCGAATGAGTTACCATAAAGGGCGAAAAGAATGTGGAAAAATTTATCCTCCACCCCCAAAAAATGAGCAAAATGAACTTTTTGGGCGCAATATATACATGTTTTTTTTTTATGGGTGGCACTTAAAGCTCTACACCCATCCATTCCGATTTTTTCAGACCAGCGAGCTACAGATCTGCAGCTATTTTGAAAATACTTCGTTAAACTCCCTTCTCTGCTCCTCCCAAAGATTTGATTCTTATGTAGTTCAGGATATAAATGTGAATATATCTACAAACAAATTACAACTGTGGATAGGATGTGTTGCTTGTATAGGCATGCGAATGATGACTTAATTAATTCCGTTATTGTTGTAAAATGAAGATATCACCACTCCTATTCTGCGTAAACAGCAAAAATAATGCTGCTATTGGAAAAACAATTCATGAGACCTTGGTTAGCCGAAAAGTAGAGTGATTAAGTTTGTTTATCTAAAAAATAAGCTTTAATTCATATCCTACAACTACTCTGGGTTCTAGATATATTCTATTGCAGAAGAATACAGCATGTACTACTCCAAGCAGCGACCGGATAAAAGTCTGCGAAATGCTTATATACCCCAATGCTGATATAATAGATAAGAAAATTATAATGGCATATGTCTGTTTCAGAGTCGTGTTGAGTTTTAAATATGCCTTCTTTTTCGTGTCTTTCCGATAAGTTTTTGAGAAAGAAAATACACGTAACTTTTTATACCGAGGTATGATTTTAAATTTCGTCATTAGTGTACTTCGAACAGGATAAATAATTAAATACTGTTAACTATGTACAACAGTCATTTGATTTCAAAAATAGACTTACCCTCCGAAGTCAATGCATAACTAACACTTAAACTACTTATATGTCATTCTTTTCTTTGGGCTGAATGTAAGTAAGACATTTATATCTTTTAGAATTAAATGAATTTGAGTATTCTTAAAGATTTGCATATTCTTCCAAGTTTGCAGGAGTGACTGACACCAATATTTCCCAGAACTTTAGTGCATCGCAATGTGTCCATATTTTTTTTATTGTATTTGATTATCATGCAAGTACTTGTAGATCACTGTCTGCTTATTTTAAACGATTTACCGACTTCTTATAACTGAATTCCGCCAAATGTTTTAAACCATTTAATAAAAACATAAATGACATTTCAAAGACTTACAATGAAAAATGTAAAGAGCAGACTTATTGAATATTCCGAATCTGTCATCCACAGGCACTTGTTTCTGAAATATTTTTTTAACCCATAGTATAATACTAACACAAGGTGTTGAACTCCGAAGTACATGAAGTACCCCCTCTCCTCATCAGAATCGCACTAATTTACACTTTCATCAGAAATGTACCGGTATTGTCTCTACAATAATTTATCTATACAACCATATATGACTTCCTTATCTTTATTTTTTATCTCCGTAAACATGCAGCGTCAAAACTCTGCTCACCGAGTGAAAAAAAGTCGAATTCCACCAACAAGCGATATGTTCTAGTCCGCGCAAAAATTTTGTTTGACTGTTTCTAAAATGTTTTATATGGTAAATGATATTTACGTAAACGAATTTTATTTATTCACTGAATATTTTTACATTGGAATTGAATTTATAAACCCATTCATATTTTTTTTTATTTTTCCTCTCATACCATTTAAAGGGAGTAAATAGACTTTTCCACTCACTGAGCAAAAATTTTGACACTGTTTACCGAGAAGTACAATGAAAGAGACAATGTTAAATTTTTTAAGGACAAAGACATATATTAAAAGAAAGAAAAGCGGACGGACAAACCAACAACCATGTTCCCCAAATCTTCGGTTACAGGGGCATATAAAGAAAATAAAGCTAGAGAATAATACTTAATTGAAAATGTTATTCAAGGATATAAACTATAACTATAATGTTGTGTATGTGAATTCATTTTAAAAGTACCTCTAGACGATTAGGTTTTAACATGTATTATTTAATTCATCCACTGAAAATTTTCTATTTATTTTCAAAGTATTTTTATTACATTAAAATTTCAAAAAGTTAACATCCATTTTGCTATAAATAATCGATTAGTGTATATCAAAGCTACAAAGAATCTTAAATGTATTTCAGATGTTTTTTTCAATAAGTTTTTAAAGTTTGGTTAATTAACAATTGATTTTTTTTTATTCTACGTAAATTCTTTTCAACTTGAAATGTAATAAATTTCATACTTGTATTCAAAATAGAGATACCCCACATAAGACTTCATGATATCGTTTAGATCGGCGGTATATCAGATAATTTGCTGTATTTTTCTCCAAGACATACAGGAAGGATGTCGGATTTAATTTCATTAGCGTATTTATTTTTATACCCCATCTTGTATATACGATTTCTCTTGTGTTTCCGGTGATTTATGGATCGGAGTAAACTATATTTTCCAGTGTGGGAATCTAACAGGGGCTTTTTTTAAGCCAGCGAAAAAATTAATCTGAATATAACAATAAAAGATACATAAATGACTATTATTTTTTTATTTGTCAAAATAATGTTAAAAAACAAAACAAAAACAAAATTAAACAACCCCCTCCCCCCAAAAAAAAACAATAAAAAAAATTACAAAATATTTCTTGCTATGATTTATAAAGGGGTACAAACTGCTCGTTTATCTACGTGAAATCAATAAAAATTTAATTTTTAGTACATGTTATTTTAAAATACAAAAGTCACCATTAAAAAATCTTCAAATTGATGGTTAAGGAAAAAGAGCGAGAGTGAGATATATAAAAGAAAGGAAAGGAAAGAGGGAAACAGTCATAAATTTTGGTTCCCACGGATGATGCAAGCACATATATCTTAATAAAACTAAGCTACAGACTTAATTAGTACTATACATTAGGGAACTGTTTTAGTGTAAATTTAGTCCCTTAACTTGCACAAAGTCTTTATTGTTTTCCACGAATTTCTTAACAATTAGCACCATTGTCTATGTTTAATACACATTAAGCACCATAATTTCAAGACGTGTTTTATTGACCAATCATTTCTTGTTTTTGACCGAGATCCCTTTTCTGGTGAAAGTACAAATTCCTCGAGCTGAAGTTGAGTAAAACATGAAAAGACGCTTTCACAGTATTGATCTGTATCTCAGATATAAATTTTGTCTTGTGCTTTATTAAAAAAATCTTTTGACCTAAATTATAGACCTTAACCCACTTTTGGTGAAATAATTAGAATTGTATTGAAAATGGGCAAGCAATTTTCGAAGATAAAAGTGTCTGAATATTTAATCTGCATTCCATGACTGAGTTCGCGTGTTTTACTGTCATGTATGATCATTAACTTACTAAAATGTTGAAATCTAATATTAGAATATTGAAAGAAGGTCGGTAACAACGGGTTGTTATAAAAAGCCATCCCAGAACGTTCTAATGCAAGAAGCTTAAGATGCAAGCCGATTTGTCTTTCAACGAAAGCTGTTTTTCAAGGCTACTGAAAGTCACTGATTCCATGTAGCTGTATTAACACTCATTAAAATGTGTTCATATGAAATACACCATCAAGTAACAAAAAAGTATTCATATTTATTCCGTGTCATACCTTATTACTCTAATAAATAGATTGATTATTCATGTATGCTATTTTACGTCCCATTCGAAAAATTTAATATTTCATTTATATATTGAGACGTCGCCATATACCGATGAAGAGTTTCAAATTTAGACACTTACTCGGTACTCGTGCCAATGCTAAACAAAAATCGATTTCTTGTATAGTCAAACCTCATTATCTCGCACTGTATTGGGCCGAGAAGAAACTTCGAGCTATCCGAGGAACTTGATCTATTCAGCTTAAAATAGTTAGAGAATAAGGGAATGGGACTTCAACATCACTTCGAAATGGAAGGCGTTGGTTAGATAAAATAATTAAATGAATGTTCAGTTGCAGAGAAAAGATCCCAAGTTAAATCCCTTCACCGGTACATTCTTACATCTCATATGAGTAAATAACAAACACTCGTAAGGGATCCAAGACATTAACATTCAATCAATCAAACAGTGCACATTCAAATTTAAGGATAAATAACACAAACAAACTTTTTTCAGAAATCAGCATTATTTCTCATAGATTTACATTTAAATTGACAACCTGAATAATGTTTACCAAGTAGAGTGGGAGAATTTTATAAGATTTTGTCATAAAGTTAAAAAATTGTGCAAAATTTTGTATGGAATTATATATAGAAGGCAAAATAAAATCTCAAATCTAAACATTATTTCTTTATATTTCATTTATTATTTATATCAATACAAATCAAAATCAGTCAAAAAATATATATCAACCCGCGCATCCATTTTTTGTTTGTGGTAAGTACCCTTAACTGGCTTAAGCTTAATATATACTATCAGAAATACTGTATATAATTTTTAATATTCGCAAGAATTTATCTTTGTATTAGTACCTGAGTGTGACAGCTCATGATATTATATTTAATTCTTTGGATTGTCGTGGATTATATACGAAAAGCATAGATTGCGAATAGCAGCGAGCAAAAAGAGACATTAAATTGGACTGAGAAGAAACTTAGAAATTCAGAAAGGCGTACAGTGCACAGATAACGCTTTTAACATAAACGATTTGTTCCTTAAATACTATTTATTTTATGTTGTAGAACCTGAGAATGTTTCCAATTCTTCTGACCAACGAGAACACAACGGAAGAAGCCATGTGCGCAGTGGTCTTTTGCGCAAAGCTAAAAGAAAAGCACTACGCATGTCCGTTTTTATTGTCATAGCGTTTTTCATTTGTTGGTTGCCATACTATGTAGTTTTCACCGGATTTGCATTTGGACACTGGACTACATTGAATCCGTCCGTCATGAGCGGGTTGACGTTTGTAGGACTTACGAATTCGATACTGAACCCCATAATCTACGGTGCATTCCAACTTTGCAAGGTGCCTAATAATCCAAGGTTAGTTTGGAGGACAATTGTTTCAAAACCCAGTTCAAACGATTTTATGTATATTCTTCCCATGGAAATGAAAAAGGGAAATAAGGCACAGTTTAGGATTGGGAATAGCTCCAATCAGTATTCCATTCACACAAGTTCAAGCTGAAGTTACATTGTCAAAGGTCAGTTTAAGATAAAAGAAAATTCACTCAAAGCTTGTGATTTTTTTGGAATGGCTTGCACAACACGCTTTCGACTAGCCTGATATGCTAGCTTGCTTTGCTTTTAGTGCACATGTTTGATTAATAATACATGCTATTAAAATGTGTGGGGGATGGGTGGGAGGAATAGTAACCACTATAAAAACTGTTTTCCAGAAATTCTAAATAACTTCAGTACCTGTCAAGCAATAGATATTGCTTTTTATTCACTTAAATGATTTTCAATGTACAGATTTTGTGTACATGGAAAAGGACTTGGTAAAGACATTTTTAGGTCAAGGTCAAAATTTGAGTCAGTTGTAAATGATAGTTATGAGATTATTGTGATGCAGTTACTTGAATATTAACCCATAATTTTACATTGAATTGAGAATTTTAGAGAAGAAGCTTCAATTTACATTTTTTGTACTTGAGCAAAAATCTTAAGGTAAAAAAAAGTGACTTCTCAAAAATGTTTGCTCTCCTCAAGAAACTTTGAAATTCAAAGCTAGACAATATCTTTTGAGCTACATGATCAAGTGGAACGGCATAGAACCGTACGTATATTCTAACTTAAAGGCTACTTGCTTTAAGGTCAAAGCCAAAATTATTCAAATAAGAGGTCCGGTATGGTTTTATCATTTACAAGTATGGGATTAATGCTTAGACTGACTGATTGTTATGTGGTCTTGTTGTAGGGGAACTGCTCCAATTAGTGGTATGTTTGCTTTCTTTTTGCTTCTTTTTGTTGTTTTTTAAACGACATATTTACATACATGTTGTTTTCGTATTTCCTTTTGTGCAAGTATTCAATATTGCATTTCAATATATGGGAAGCATACTCTGAATTTTCTTTGAAGATTCACATTTTTCTTCTTATCTTGTTGATAAATGTACTGATATTGGGTTTTGAAACAAAGCATGCCTGTGTCCTGCCAAAACAATTCTTGTGCTTAATTGAGAATGCTATAAGCTAAGATTCTGAAACCATATCAGATAGATGTAGTTCATGTTTATACATTAGAATTTTTTTTTTAGCAAGCAAAATAGACTTTGGGTTCTCACAAAAAAAGTCCTATGATATGCGCCAAAGGAAAATTTCATTAACTGAATTAATTTTGTCTTATACGAGGGTTAAAGGAACTTTTCCCTAGCATCATATTAAATCTTGTTCCAACAAAGGATTAATTGTACGTATCCGCAGAGCATAAACTATAAATCATGTCAACTATAATTCCCAGACATCGTTTCCTCAAGTAACGTGTTTCATCATGGAAGGCTAATCAGTATAGCGGTGTTTTTGAACGCATGAGGTCACACTTTGGAAATCCAGTGGGACCGGGCGCAAGACATGCTTAAAGAGATGAATCTGTAATACAGATCCGAGGTGGATACTGATTTGTCACACAAGGGTCTGTATAACTTAAGCAAAATTTCAGTCTTTACAAGATGATAGTAAAATATAGCAATAGGAGCATCGCAAAGTGGAGCATTTCCTCGCAAAGATCATTGCAATAAATCAAAACAGCATTATTTTAACATCGATCCCGATGCAAATTAAAACAAGAGACGTTTGTAAAACACTTATGCCCCCTCCCACAAACTGAAATTTGTTCCAAGTCAAAGGGGCATAACTATGACAAAAACGGTGCGATCATTACCAAAACACAACTTGACCTAGATATTCAGCTGATGAATCTGTACACCAAATTTCATTTCAGTATGCAAATTCTGCAAATAAAATGAACGGAAACTGCAAATGATAGGAATTTTTCGAAGTCCAAGGGGCATAACTCTGACAAAAATGGTGCGAAACTTGGCTTAAATATTCAGCTGATAAATCTGTATATTAAATTTCATTTCAATAACTGAACCTCTGCCAAGAAAATGAACGGAAACGGCAAATAATTGGAGTTTTTTTAAGTCCAAGGGGTATTACTCTGTCAAAAATGGTGCGATCGTACTCAAAACAGAATTTGACCTACACTGTAGATATCCATGTGATAAATCTGTATAGCGAAATTCATTTCAGTAAGTGCAACGGTTGTGAAGAAAATGAACGGAAACTAAATGGACCGACAGACAGACAGCAGCAAAGCAATAAGCTCTCCCTCCTTCGAAGGGGAGCATAAATATCTTCAATTAGAGCTTGGACGAGATATCGATAATATCGATTCTGTGTGAGGACGACACTCATATCGATATGTATGAAGAAATATCGCAAAATTTTCATTGTTTATTTAACATTTGGGGTTTAATATCTAAAATAGGTAAGCTAAATATACATATAAATATGAAATAAAAAATGATTAACACCACTTGAGTAAAATATTTTTGTTTTACAACATATAAACAACTATTTTGAATAAATTATACTTATTTGCAAAGAAATATTTTTTTTTTTATTTTAATGCAAAGAAAAAAAAAGATTTTATAATCAATTAAACATATCGTGATACATATCGTATCGTGGTTCGATAGAGAAAAAGTTGTATAGTCTCAGCCCTATCTTCAGTTACCGTTTTGTATAGTGCTAACGCACTCACCAACAAACGAACACACACGATTGCGTTACTTTATCACTCTAAGCCCATTGCGAAGAGATAATATGCTAACTACATGATATGTATATTTTGCATTCGATTGTCGAAAAACCACATTGAGACATATCGCTAAAACTGACACTTGACCTAAAACATATAACGGTGTGGAAGTTTAAGAACACCTGGGACATTGTATATTGTTGTTGATGTCTTGATTTATAATTCGGGAAATCCTTCTCAAAGAATATTTAGCTCACCTCGGTCAAAGTTTTACATGTAAGTGAGCAACTTCTTCTTTTACATCACTGATCCTACATACATAAAGACAAAGTTGATGGACAAGCTACAGTATATAATGAAGATTCAAATTTTATATTTTTATTAGTAAAATTAATATGCAAGCATTCTCATGTAGTGCATATTCGTTTATTTATATGCCCCGAGGATGGGATGGGACCAAAGTACATGTAAAGATCTTGTACATGTAGGGTACAAAACTTCTCTTCGGAAACTCCAAGTCCGTGAGATATCCAAGAATCACAATAAAGCATTTGTTAAAATCATTGCCCAGAAGCGTACGATGGTCTAAAATCGTTTTTTTTCTAGCGTTCGATTTTGAAAAAAAAATAGTTCGCTTGTAGACTATAGACTTTTAAAAATGCCTTAAATGTTTCTGCACACTTTCTATTGCTCTAGATTGTCTTAAGTCAACTTTGTGACATTAATTATCTGATGTTATGTAAACCATATAAATGTTTACCTATAACTTCATTTCCCGAAAAGATATATCAAAAATAATTTAAAATGTACATTATATGTTTGCCTTTTCCACACCAACCATGTAACCTGAACCACACATAAAGTTTACAGTATAAATCAAAAGAACTATGTAATAACAGTTCATGAACAATTTGTTTGATGCTAAGAAGTGATGACCCTTAAATAATATTTTAGGGTCATCACTTCTTGACAACAAACAAAAATCATGTTTTTAAAAAATGTATGCTTTAATTCAAATGCCAACATCTAGGCTTATGGGCATGATCGAAATGTAGGAAGTGTTCTTAACTTTATTCGGTAAAATCATGAAATATTATTATTTCCCTCGAAGACGTGCCAGAGAAGTTTAGAATGTATGTAGGGTTTCAAAGACGTGCGACACAGCAGTAAAATATATACAACTTGAGATTGTTCTAGTATTTAAAAACTGTCAGCGTTAAAAACAATTTTATTTTTTTATGAAAAAGTGGTAATAATTTAGTAATGTCTATTGGCAACTTTTATATTAATTTTGAGTAAATTTAGCACTAATGATCTTTACATCACATTGATTCATTGATTTTATTTCAAATATTAATTAGTTCTCACTCTAGTAAAAATTACTAACATATTTGTTTATGCTGTAGTCACTTGTAGTTTTAGTTTGCATGGTCACCATAGGATGCTTACTCCTTTATTCCATCTGATCCTACGTACGGTGTTTTCAGGAGGTTGTCGACCCTGTTTTTCTTTTAGTTTTGTAGTACCGGTATTTTGTGTGGTTTTGAGCTTGATCTTCAAAGTTTTGTGTTCAAAGTAATATTATGCTTTAAATACATTATAATATCAACTTTCACCAAAAATTAAAAAAATCACAAAAAATAAAATAACAAAGACAAATGTGTTTTGAATAGTAATTGTTGGTAAGTATATGAAATATGTGAAGATGGCAGCACAAATTTAGAAATAACTTTATATATGGAAGGCAATAAATATTATGATAATTTATTTAAAGGCAATTTGTATAGGAAGGAGGTAAAACCGATATAAATCTTGAGTCAAATAATTTTTCTGCGGAGATTTCTTTCAAGCTTTAAGAAAAATATAACTACGTGTATTTATTTACAAGTAAAGCGTATTATCTTTTCTTTTGAAGGTCCTGGAAAAAAGAAAACGTACCAGGTATTATCAGTAGAGCCCCCTGTTTACGGCGGCACCCAAAAGACATGTATCACCGCCGTCTGAGTAACAGGTCAACCAAGAGGACCTCCCTGCGGTCCAGATGACGCTCGGTCGTACGGCGTCGGCCCCAACGAAACATTGGTCCGCGGCTCACGGCACTCCCATGTCTTGCTCTGTCGAAGAAGTTGACTCGACCTAAGACATGAGTTGAACATTTCAAATATTATATCTTAGACTACTGTTGCCAGAGGTGAAGGATTTAACATGTCCGTACAACATTTGACTTCTGTTTTTTCTACCCTATCCTTGGAAACTTGTTTTAGAATTGTGATTTTACCTGATTATTTAATTAAAAAAATATTTCACATTGATTTGCTTTGGATTAGTTCTGAAAGGATACATTTTAATTACAGCCGGATCCTTTAGTATAATATCCAGTCAGACAATCTCCTCAATTAGTTTGTATTAAAAAGATTGTTCGGAAATTATTGAGACATTCGTATGTTTTTCTTTCCTGTATATAAAACATAAGTTTGACAAACATTTAGAATAAATATAAGCCCATCCCGTTCCTTTTGTCTCCAAAATAGACAGTATTTAGTAAATCATTTTTTTAAGTGACTGTGGGCCCCTACCTGTGGACCCCAAACTAGTCGGACCCCCCTTTTTTAGGATTTCTGGTTCCGCCACTGGTTTCACATGCGGTCATTTCCGGCTGCATTGCGTTAAAATGATGTAGCGATGATGCTCAAGGTCGATAGACATATGTATATTTATAATGTCACTGCAACTTATCTAATTACTAGTATCCGAAAACAAAGAAATTTTTCGCATTTGTTTTATTCTATCTTTAATAAATGTTAACGAATTTTCATGAATTCGTCTCTGTCCTTTATGAAGTAAAAGAGAATGTCTCAATAATTTCATTTCATAAGTAATTAATAATTTTGGAAAATTGAAATGCTAAATTTGCTTATGATTTGTTGTACATGTATAATTTATGCTTAATATATAACCAGAGGTCTCTGTCGAGACTGTAGCTCAACTGGTTTGTACTTATAACAAAGGATGAGAAAAGAAGCCATTGCCATCAGACCAAAACTGTAGGAGGAGTAGCGTTTTAAAGGAATTTCAAAGACATTTCTATTTTTAGTAACATGGCAACACCGTTCATCGAAATCAAAAACCGATGCACTATTTTATGTATCTTAGTGTAGTCTACTTGTGTGCCAAGTTGAAATCAGACCAAAATTGTAGGAGGAGTAGCGTTTTGAAGGAATTTCACAGAAAATTCTATTTTCAGTAACAATGGCAAACACCAAAATCCAAAACCGATGCACTATTTTATGTATCTTAGTGTAGTCTACTTGTGTGCCAAGTTACATTGAAATCAGATCAAAACTGAAGGAGAAGTAGATTTTAAAGGAATTTCACAGGAAATTCTATTTTTAGTAACCATGGCAACACCGTTCAACGAAATCAAAAACTGATGCACTATTCAACGTAACTTAGTGTAGTCTATTTGTGTGCCAAATTATATATTTTTAGAAGGAGTAGCGTTTTGAAAGAATTTCACAGAAAATTCTATTTTTAGTAACAATGGCAACACCGTTCATCGAAATCCAAAACCGATGCACTATTTTATGTATCTTAGTGTAGTCTACTTGTGTGCCAATTTATATTGAAATCAGATAAAAACTGTAGAAAGAGTAGCGTTTTGAAGGAATTTCACAGAACATTCTATTTTTAGTAACAATGGCAACACCGTTCATCGAAATCCAAAACCAATGCACTATTTTATGTATCTTAGTGTAGTCTACTTGAGTGCCAAGTTGAAATCAGACCAAAATTGTAGGAGGAGTAGCGTTTTGAAGGAATTTCAGAGAAAATTCTATTTTCAGAAACAATGGCAACACCGTTCATCGAAATCCAAAACCAATGCACTATTTTATGTATCTTAGTGTAGTCTACTTGTGTGCCAAGTTATATTGAAATCAGATCAAAACTGAAGGAGGTGTAGCATTTTAAAGGAATTTCACAGAAAATTCTATTTTTAGTAACAATGGAAACACCGTTCATCGAAATCCAAAACCGATGCTCTATTTTATGTATCTTAGTGTAGTCTACTTGTGTGCCAAGTTACATTGAAATCAGATCAAAACTGAAGGAGAAGTAGATTTTAAAAGAATTTCACATGAAATTCTACTTTTAGTAACCATGGCAACACCTTCCTCGAAATCCAAAACCGATGGACTATTTTATGTATCTTAGTGTAGTCTACTTGTGTGCTGAGTTATAAATGAAATCAGATCAAAACTGCAGGAGGCGTAGCATTTTGAAAAAAATTGTTTACAGACAGACAGACGGACGATGGACACCTTACTATCGCATACGCTCTTCTGGTCTCTGACCAGTAGAGCTAAAAACATCTGTTATAAATGTGGATTCACACGCCGGGCATTGTTATGTCATACCCACTATGACGTCACAATTAAAAAGAGGAGTCGATGTATCTGTTTTTAGAAAATCCGGGTCAATCTGAGTTTTCAAGTTTATATTTAGAAAGTCCAGAGGTATATCCGCATTTAAATTCTTTGACATGTGAAGCCATTCGAACCAGTGACAAATCTCGATACAATGTATGAAAATATCAATTGCAAACATACATGTAGTATGATTAGAAAGAAACTGTAGGAGATTCAAATTGGCGTTTTAATGGATTTGACAGAATAACCATGGTTTAATCATTGACTAAATAAATAGAAATAAATAAAATCGTTAATATTCCATCGAAGGGCTTTTGCACCACCATGGCACCTGATCCCACCTCTGATGTTTTAAAGGTCCGTGTATGCGCTGATTTGTCTTATTTAATGGACCTTTGAGCTCGAATACTATATATTTCACTTAATAAGCCTAGTAGGAAAATGCGCAAACAGCTCTCCTGGTCTTATTTTGCCTCAGATTTCATTATACATGTATATGGAGATAACGAACAGTATTCAGGCTTTAAAGTCCTTTGCAATAATACAAATCGGGAACAGAGAAAATACATGCACGAAGCTCTTAAACAACAGAGGTTGGGACATGCAAGAACCTCTTTTTAACGGATTTCACCCGCCAGAAAACGTCAGAACCGATACAAACAAAAGAATCGATGTCTGGATTGGTATATATTTTTTGTCCTAATTTCATTGCAAATGATGCAAATAATAAATTTCTAGAAAATAAAGAAATTGTAAACTTCTGTGATGTTCAAAAGTATGCCCTTCCGAAACCATCCTTATTAATCTATACAAATATTTTTCACTTCAAATTCCATTTTTGTGCAAATTTGTTTAAAAAAAAAAATAAAAACTACGCGTTATTCATTTTACACATTTAAACATGACCTAACTTGTTATTTTCAATTTTTTGACAAAAGTTTGTTTGTATCATCTGTCCTTAAACAACAGAGGTTGGGACAGGTGCCAGGATAGTCCGAAATATCTGACGTTTTATTGGCTCTTTTACGATTGTAGTATTTCACGCGCCAAGAAAACGTCAGAACCGGCGCCATTTTTATAAAACAAGAATGCCATGGAAGAAAAAAAAATCCCAAATGGGAAATTTGCATTCTCCAAATGGAAATGATTTTCGACACTTGCGAACCGAGTCAAATGCCGACCTTGCAACTTATTAATAGCACAATGCTATGCATCTACATTCTGTATTTTCTCACAAAGTCATTGTATCGACCATAGAGCTTACAAAATAACAAATTTAAACGAAATGTTAATCTTTTCATCAACTTGTTTTAGTAATTGTTTATACGTAAAACATGCTTTTGTATTGAATCAGTTGGGAGATATACTAGTAAACCCATTATAGGCATATAGGCGATAACGGTATACTGCTACACAAGTAAAGGAAGTTGGCGAAAGAAAAGTTAAAATTATTGCGTTTTTCATAGAGTTATTCTTTCTTAAAGTAATATGAGCTGTATTTTTGAGAATTTTATTTTGCTCTTAAAATGTGCTATTCTGATAAATCTGTACGTAATTTAATTCTTTTTTAAAAGCATCAAATTGTTTTAGAAGAAAAATTTCTGTACAACGGAATGTACAGTATTAATTAAGGAATCACTGTCTAGTTAGGAGAGTATGCCAGGGACATCAACAATAGTGGGAAACATGGGATAATTTTAGCATAACGGGCTTCATTGTGAAATAAAGTGGTAGATTTAGACTTTAAAAATGTAGATATAGACTTAAATTACACGAGGACTTCTATGCCAATTTCAATAGTCCTCGCCCAATGACAAACACCTAGGCAGCCGCACGAGATTTACGTGCACATTTTGCCTCCTTAGCGTCAGACACAGAGACAGATGCGCACGAGATTTGGATGCATTTTAGGCATCCTTAGCTCCTGACCTACCGACCTGCCTAATTTACATTCCGGCAGAATTATCAAGTAATAAACTCCGACAACTTTCAAAGAGTTATCGCAGAGAAAAAAATTAGAAATGGAAATATTAAGAAATCAATATTGTACAGGACGGCATGATGAAATTTTGCTTCAATCAAAGCTTTTAAATAGTTCTTCCGTCACAAATATTCAGAACAGACATAAATTTACAAACATTTTCTTTTATCATTGAAATAGTTAATTACAATTTTGCCGTCGAAATTTCCGACATCAAAGTTTCAGCTCATAGTGCTTTAAACATGATTTGTGGTTAGTTGGCTGTCTTTGTTTGTTTTTTTTTATTGGTCAAAATTGAAGCTACAGTATTGATCTTTGCATGATATACAGTGAAATGTAATGAACGGTGTCACTTTATATTTCTTTACAAATCAGGAAAGTAGAACTCTATTTATATTACGCAATAAGTGTCAGAGGATTTCTTTCTTATAACTTGATGCTTTGTTTATTTATTCCTTGACGCCAGGAAAGCTATATACTGAAGGAAGACTCTTCTTGGATTTTTCTCAGATTTATTCCGTTTTTAACGCTGAATAAAGGATGACAAACGCACAATACAGATAAAGGGGAAGATAACAGCTCCCCTTGGAAGGACACAGAGTTTTACCCGCAGGGAAAAAAAGTGAAACTCGAAGCATGATATTATTCGTCGATACAGTTCCGACAAAACACTGTGCCAGACAAGCTGGTACCATTTGGATCTCATGTATGAATTGATAACTTAGGAAAGCTGCGCTAAGCCCAAGGATGTCCTTCATTTACATCTTCCGATTTTATTGGCTTTGTTTAGAACTCCTGTCCGATTTTGACGATTAATAAATCAGGTTTTTTGCATTTTTTT